AAAACCCAATGGTTTCACTTGATTTGCTTATCAAAATAATTATCAAATTTATTATATCCTTAAACAGGTTGTTTTCTGCAGCATTTAAAGAATTTGACGGTTCTCTTAATATACATGAGCAATCAATGCAAGGTCAAAAACATACGAAACTAGTCTCGTAACCGGTTCTAATGACACTAATTTGATAATTTTTGGATTTATACCCAAAGAGAACAACACTCCCGAATTTACTGTTTCGGACTGGTTTCCTGGACAGATTTGAATACCTCAATTTATATGGATTTTGACTCCCAAAAATTATGAAAAAATTTAGATATGCAATTAAATATGTAATTGATCTACTGTAAAAATTTCAGATTAAAATTCATCCGTTTGATATGGTTTCTTGATATTTAAAGTTTGCGATTATGTGCAGAATTTTTGGACTAAGATTCACACCGATTCTTTATACATGAATTAAACTCCATAGATTTCATATATATATATATACACAAAATACATACACGTACAATCTCTCCATCAATGAATTAAATAACAATATTATTAGGATAAAGAACAAAGAAAGAAGAGAAGAAAACCTAGGAGGCCACACAGCACAACACACCCAAAGCTCTCCTTCTTGGCTACAACAATAATCTTGATGATTGAAAAACCCCTCTCTTTCCTTCATAAACCCACGGCTGCTAGGGCTGCTAGTGTTGTGGAAAACAATTATAACAAGAGTTAGGGTTTGTGTTTATTTCATTTTATACTAGTGGTGGGCACACATAGGTCAAATAGATAGATAAATATACAAAATACATATATAAGTTACATGCAACTCAAATGGTAAGAGCTTAACTTATTAATTTTGTGGTGTAGAGTTCAAGTCACACCCTCTTTTCTATTTTTTTTTTTTTAATAATAAATCTTGCTTCTAAATCAATGACTTTCACCATAAATTTATTTTAGGTTTAAAAATTAATTAAAAGATCCTCCAATAATATTTAATTTGCACCTTAGAATTCACTACCAAAATATTTGAGATTGTAATATTATTATTTAATTATTTACTTAATTTTTATATTTGGGTTCTCACAAACCTGCCCAACATCTCCTAAAACTCAAATACAAAGAATTAAAGGACGGAAATGAAACATATGCAACAGCCGACATCCACGGAACCGAGTCTGGAATACAACAACCAATGGAAGGAAAACCGGGATCGCTATAGCCTCCTCGGTTAGTATTAGTTGGAAAAAAAAATCACTGAAAAAAAAATTAATTAAAAAAAAAATTGTTAGTAAAATTTTTAAATTTTTGTTTAAAAACCAAAACTAATTTTTTGAATTTACGTTTTCTCCTCAATTTAAAAATTGAGACAACTATTTATAAACCAAAAAAATTATCAAACAAGTTTTTATGACAATTTTTAAAATTTTTGTAAATATAAATTGAAAACTGAAAACGAAATAGTTACCAAACAGGTCTCAGATGGTCAAAATGTCGTAAAATTAACAAATACTTAAATAAGTTACCAACGTAAGAAATTACTTATCAAAAGATTCTTAGGCTATGTATGATTTGATTTTTAGAATTTTTTTTTAAAATTAAAAATTAATTTGGTTAAGAAATAAAAAATAAAAAAAATATTTTTAAACGAAATTATTTTTTAAAAATTATTTTTTTATTTTTTATTTCTTAACCAAATTAATTTTTAATTTTTAAATTTTTTTTAAAAAAATCAAACCATACATAGTCTAAGAATCTTTTGATAAGTCATTTCTTATGTTGGTAACTTATTTAATTATTTGTTAATTTTATGATATTTTTACCATCTGAAGCATGTTTGGTAACCATTTCGTTTTCAGTTTTCAATTTATATTTACAAAAATTAAAAAAACTATCATAAAAGCTTGTTTGATAATTTTTTTGGTTTATAAATAATTGTCTTAGTTTGTAAATTTGATGAAAAAACATAAATTCAAAAAATGAGTTTAATTTGGTTTTTAAACAAAAAATTAAAAATTTTACTAACAAATTTTTTTTTAATTAATTTTTTTTTCAATTAATTTTTTTCCAATGAATTTTTTTTTTCAATGATTTTTTTTTCCAACTAATACTAACCGAGGTGGCAATTGGTAATATTACTTTAAACCTTAAGAAGAGGATTGTAATTTCTAAAATGTGAGGGGTGTCAATGTAATTTACCCAATGAGGGTAAAATTGGTATTTAAAAAAATTAAAAGGGCTGAGGGGGAATTTGTAATAAAACTTTAAACATCAAGGGGAGAGATATAATTTTCAAAAGGTGAGAGGGGAACTGTAATAAATATAAACCTCAAGAGGTATCAGTATAATTTACCCAAAAGTTATTTTATTAACTTTCTAAGTTTTTATGAAAGGAAGTACAAAAAAAATTAGAAAGAATGACATGATTACTTATAATGACTTTTTAATTTTTTAATTAAAATATATAATTATCAAAAGAAATCTAAATATTCAACTCACTTCATGTGCCATGCAAATAACAGCTGTATTTTTTGTGATGAATTGCATTACATACACTTTTTCACTTTTAAAATAAAAAAAAAATAAAAAATAAAAAATAAAAAAAATTGGTCCTTAATTGTTTCTAATTTAGGCCAATAACCAACAGAGGTTCAAAATTTGACATAAAATATCAAGTGTACACCACATAGTGTTCGGAATTTTGATAAAAATAAAATAGAATCGTTACTGTTCAGTGTGTTTGATCGTTACAAAATTAAAACAAAATAAACAAAAATGCTTTAGAGCTCTAATATAGGAGCTCTAATAGCTCTAATGGGAAGGTGGGTTCCACCCTGATGTGATGTTTGTGCCTTGTTTTGTTTTGTTTTTTTTTTCAACAATGATTCATCCCACTAAAAACATCACCACTAATAGCACTAATGCATTAAAAAAATAAAAAAAATAAAAAAAAAATTACAACTCCAAGACCAAAACATCACATCATTCATGACGGGACCCACTGCTACCTAATTAGTGGGAGCACTAATTAGTGCTCCCAAGCATTTTTCATACTTTTAGTCATCTCGGATTTAATTCTTTGTAAAATAATTTTTCCACTAAAAATATGCCCATCATGAATATAGTTATAGTCATATATGTTTTTGAGAATATCAATTGTTATAATTATATTTTTTGTGTTATTAATGAATTTAAAAGAAGACTAAAATAATAAATTTATATTATTTTATTTATTAATTTTTAAAAAAAGATTAATATTTTAAAATAATAAAAAATAGAATGAAAGATTAATATTTTGAGACGAAAGGAAGTTGTTTCAAGTTTAAGCCGTAAATTACTTTTTCTAACATAATTAATGTTTTTGTAAGCCTATATATTCGTAGTGATATTCTTTGAGATGGCATATACATATAGGTTGTAAATTTGGCCCGACCCAACCATGTCCACCTCTGCTACAGGCAGCGACGATGATTCATGGGCAGTGGCCTGGTCGCCGTCGGAGTTACGGCAACAGGGGCTTACGTGACATGCTATCCGCTGATCTTTACGTTTTCGAAGCCAAGTCATGGGAATCATTCTCAGTTAGACGATGAAGGTACCAACAACAACAATCACAACAACGATCACAACAACAAAAACTAATAACAGATTTGATTGAAAACCCCCAGATGATTTTCAAAACCTTCAAATCTGGCTCCAATTAGTTCGAAATCCCTGAAAAATAAAAACACTTCATCAAAAGCTGTTTAGATCTGTAAAGGGGAGAGAGAGAGAGAGAGAGAGATGTCAGATTGACTGTGGATGAGTTTGTGATCGTCAATGATGATAGAGACGGCAGTGGCACTGAGATCGACGATGGATGAGTAGTCGATGATGGAGGTAACTGCGGCGTTGAGATTGGTGAGAGAGATAGAGAGATAGAGAGTGTGAGATTGAGATCTGATGAGAGAGAATTTTTTTTTTGATTAAAGAGAGATATCGAACAATGAGAGAAATAAAAGGGTCGGGCTAGAGAGGTATTTTGGTTAATAACTTATCCTTATGGACATAATAAATTAAGAAAAATGATTTGTATGAAGTGAAAAAAGTGAACTTATCCTCACTTGTATGAAGTTTTTCATAAATTAAGAAAAATGATTTGTATCGAACAGTGAGAGAAATAAAAGTGACTCACATGCCCCCCTAAGTTTTTCATATTTATACTATTTCACTTATATATGAAGTTTATATCTTTTGTGTCCTTTATAAAATTATAATAGTGTCCCTCCTTAAATAATGTAAAATTCGTTTTAAAAATTTTAAACGTGCTCTATTATATTTTTTTTGTTCATTCTTTTATACCCTGGACTGGAAAGTCAATGGTAAGAATTGAATTAATTGAACATTTTTTTTTTATTATGGGATTTGTTTAGTTGATTGTTTTTCTCCATAATGGGATTTTTTGTTGAGTTGATTAATAGTGTTGAATTTGTTAAACATAAATTCAGTTGGGTTGTTGATTGTGGATTTCTAAGCTATATTAATGTAATTTTCATGATAATTGTAATATTAAATCTCAACAATAGACCCTCAAAAAAATGTATAAATTTAATAGTATCTCGTTGTTTATTGTGTGGTTTTTTTTCCCCTTCTTTTCAATGATGTGAATAATATGTGCCCCCTTGGCCTTGAATTTTTAGCTCCGCTACTGCATGTGGGCACCTGGGATGCATGTCTATGCTTCCTATATTATCATGGTTACATTTGAGTGGTGTTTATCATCATCATCTCTTCTTATTCACCTTCACCCTATCTTTGTTTATAACTTGATTTAAAGGGAGAGGGTGTGGCGTGTTTGACAGGTGAACACATTCGTACTCATCATGTCGGTGTCAGACTTCACTCTATCTTTGTTTATAACTTGATTTGAAGGGAGAGGGTGTGGCGTGTTTGACAAGTGGGCACATTCGTACGCATCATGTCGGTGTCAGACACAGACACAAAATCCATTTTGGAGTGTCCATTCTTCTTAGGTGGTTCTCATCCTCTATCCAATAAAATGGAAATGGGTTTCCAAGTTTTTTTTTGTATATCATCTACCATAATGGTAGTTGTCTTCTTTTTCCTGTAGTCATGCTTTATTTGGAGGTCAAAAGTTTTTCATGCCCGGACTGAAGGTCTTCCATCTTTGATAGAGAAATGTTGTCATACATATATTTGACAATGTAGCGTTATTCATCTAGCTTCAGATACTTTCCTCCAATGCAAAGTAAGTTTGTCAGCCCACCAGCATCAGTCCAACATCCTCATTGGATCGATTGTAATGATGTTGCAACATCGTTGATAGGTGGCGTCATCACTTATGTCAAGTTGCGGCCTCTTTGTGCAGAACAATTTCTCCATCCACATAATGAGACATCAGTATGGATGAATTCTATGCCAGGCAATCCTCATCTTCTTTCTGGTTCTTAAACCCTGGAAAGAACGAATTATTTCCTTGTTCATTTGATTCTCCTGCACTCGCCTTTGAATTCCATTGTGTTCTTAATACCCTGTAATACACTATTGTACGAATGGAAAGCGATCTGAAAGATCAGTATTCTCCAGTGCCAATTTCCCGAATTTACATTTCAAATTGACTTGCTTCGGCTCAGTTTTAAGGCAATAGCTGACTAGAGCGATGTCTTTTCCACAGTCGTAATTGGATGTCTAAATTGTTGAACACCTCCCTCTTTTAGTTCTTTGAATTCAACAGTTTAAACTTAAGACAGAAAACAAAGCTTGGGGATCAGAACACCCTAGTTTGAGGGAAGTTCACTTTCTCTGAAGGAGCCACAAACCCCTACAGTGCACACATTTGCAAGCCAAGCAATTCATTCCCTCAACCTATTCTGCCATTGTTTTGAAAAACAGGCAAGGGGTCATATATCACCATCAAACTGTAGGCTACATGATTTTTATTTTTATTTTAATTTTCTAATAGCAGCTTATCTTGGTGTTTTTTAGTTTATCTGTACAATGGTTTAAAAGCTGGGGCTGTGAGGCCACCAAAAAAAAAAGTGGAAGTATAGTTTTGTTCCGGGTTAGATCAGCATGGGGTAATGATCGTTTCTTATGGTAAACAAATGATACGTTTGGTTCAGCAAAAGAGTTATTTGTGCCTGTGTTGTTCACACTAACTACTTACGTCCTCTATAGCTTTTTATGTTCTGTGGATCTGGCACTTGCAGGTCGAGCTGAGGCACTACTCATTGCTGCTTACGGCAAAGGCATGAAGATCAGCACCAATTCATCATCCATCTCAGAAGAATTGATGTCTTAAAACAGGCAAATTGGCCACAACCCACTCCTTTCTTTTGTCACATCCTTCAGTTGTTGCTTCTTTTCTTCTCTGCAAATGCTACAAAATGAAGAGCAACATGAATAGCGACAAAAAGTAGTTGATGGTTTGGTATTGTATAATTCTCACATTAGACTAACTGCGTTAGATATTTCACTAGTTTTAGTTTTTAGCTTTTTATCTTTTTTGCCATTGTCATTTTTTTTCTTCTTTTTGGGATTGCTTCATGGAGATTAGCTGACTGATAGTATTATTGATACTTCTTGTGGGATTTAAACTTCCCAATTGTGATCCTTCTTTGTAACCTAGTATGTGTAATTGTTAGATGAATATCTAAATTCTGATGGAAATTTGAGGTTCTCTTGGAAACATATGGTTGTTACTGTAATTTATTTATTCAAGTCATGGAGTGATATAACATAATATTTATTGCAGTTCATTTGGTGAGGTATCAAACAATAATGATAATTGTAATATTAAATCTCAACAATAGACCCTCAAAAAAATGTATAAATTTAATAGTATCTCGTTGTTTATTGTGTGGTTTTTTTCCCCTTCTTTTCAATGATGTGAATAATATGTGCCCCCTTTGCCTTGAATTTTTAGCTCCGCCACTGCATGTGGGCACCTGGGATGCATGTCTATGCTTCCTATATTACCATGGTCACATTTGAGTGGTGTTTATCATCATCATCTCTTCTTATTCACCTTCACCATGTCTTTGTTTATAACTTGATTTAAAGGGAGAGGGTGTGGCGTGTTTGACAGGTGGACACATTCGTACTCATCATGTCGGTGTCAGACTTCACTCTATCTTTGTTTATAACTTGATTTGAAGGGAGAGGGTGTGGCGTGTTTGACAAGTGGACACATTCGTACGCATCATGTCGGTGTCAGACACAGACACAAAATCCATTTTGGAGTGTCCATTCTTCCTAGGTGGTTCTCATCCTCTATCCAATAAAATGGAAATGGGTTTCCAAGTTTTTTTTTGTATATCATCTACCATAATGGTAGTTGTCTTCTTTTTCCTGTAGTCATGCTTTATTTGGAGGTCAAAAGTTTTTCATGCCCGGACTGAAGGTCTTCCATCTTTGATAGAGAAATGTTGTCATACATATATTTGACAATGTAGCGTTATTCATCTAGCTTCAGATACTTTCCTCCAATGCAAAGTAAGTTTGTCAGCCCACCAGCATCAGTCCAAATCCTCATTGGATCGATTGTAATGATGTTGCAACATCGTTGATAGGTGGCGTCATCACTTATGTCAAGTTGCGGCCTCTTTGTGCAGAACAATTTCTCCATCCACATAATGAGACATCAGTATGGATGAATTCTATGCCAAGCAATCCTCATCTTCTTTCTGGTTCTTAAACCCTGGAAAGAACGAATTATTTCCTTGTTCATTTGATTCTCCTGCACTCGCCTTTGAATTCCATTGTGTTCTTAATACCCTGTAATACACTATTGTACAAATGGAAAGCGATCTGAAAGATCAGTATTCTCCAGTGCCAATTTCCCGAATTTACATTTCAAATTGACTTGCTTCGACTCAGTTTTAAGGCAATAGCTGACCAGAGCGATGTCTTTTCCATAGTCGTAATTGGATGTCTAAATTGTTGAACACCTCCCTCTTTTAGTTCTTTGAATTCAACAGTTTAAACTTAAGACAGAAAACAAAGCTTGGGGATCAGAACACCCTAGTTTGAGGGAAGTTCAATTTCTCTGAAGGAGCCACAAACCCCTACAGTGCACACATTTGCAAGCCAAGCAATTCATTCCCTCAACCTATTCTGCCATTGTTTTGAAAAACAGGCAAGGGGTCATATATCACCATCAAACTGTAGGCTACATGATTTTTATTTTTTTTTTAATTTTCTAATGGCAGCTTATCTTGGTGTTTTTTAGTTTATCTGTACAATGGTTTAAAAGCTGGGGCTGTGAGGCCACCAAAAAAAAAAGTGGAAGTATAGTTTTGTTCCGGGTTAGATCAGCATGGGGTAATGATCGTTTCTTATGGTAAACAAATGATACGTTTGGTTCAGCAAAAGAGTAATTTGTGCCTGTGTTGTTCACACTAACTACTTACGTCCTCTATAGCTTTTTATGTTCTGTGGATCTGGCACTTGCAGGTCGAGCTGAGGCACTACTCATTGCTGCTTACGGCAAAGGCATGAAGATCAGCACCAATTCATCATCCCTCTCAGAAGAATTGATGTCTTAAAACAGGCAAATTGGCCACAACCCACTCCTTTCTTTTGTCACATCCTTCAGTTGTTGCTTCTTTTCTTCTCTGCAAATGCTACAAAATGAAGAGCAACATGAATAGCGACAAAAAGTAGTTGATGGTTTGGTATTGTATAATTCTCACATTAGACTAACTGCGTTAGATATTTCACTAGTTTTAGTTTTTAGCTTTTTATCTTTTTTGCCATTGTCATTTTTTTTCTTCTTTTTGGGATTGCTTCATGGAGATTAGCTGACTGATAGTATTATTGATACTTCTTGTGGGATTTAAACTTCCCAATTGGGATCCTTCTTTGTAACCTAGTATGTGTAATTGTTAGATGAATATCTAAATTCTGATGGAAATTTGAGGTTCTCTTGGAAACATATGGTTGTTACTGTAATTTATTTATTGAAGTCATGGAGTGATATAACATAATATTTATTGCAGTTCATTTGGTGAGGTATCAAACAATATATGTATATGGGGGGTGTCTTTCATTCCAGTAGAAATTGTAATTTAATTTTTTCCCCCACCCATCATTTCTATGTGAGGCATGTTCTCTCTTTAACTCAGCACTTTATAAAAAGGCTTTTTTAAGTTTTCTTTGGCACGCTACTTTTAAATTAACTTATTGGCTTAAAATAAGTTGATAAATAAATTGTTACTTACAGAAGTTAATTTATTTAGTAATCTCTTATTTAACTTATTAGCTTTTTAACTCTTCTATGCATAAATAAGGGTAAGCATGGTCCGGATTAGACTGAATTGAGGTAAAATCAGGACCAATCCGTTATCTACGGTTCCTGAAAAATTGGAACCAATCCAATCCGTTTAAATCATGGAACCAATCCAAACCAATCCATTTAAATACGGATTGGATCGGTTTAGGACTACGGATTCACATAATTAAATAACAAATATATATATATATATAACACTTTAATTTTATAAAAATATAAATATAGCGTTATATTAGTTTCACAATAGCAGCATCTATTTCTATAACAGCGACATATTGTTCTAGAATTTAAACAACCATAAGAAAACTGGTTTCACCATAAGTATTTAAACCATTACAAATTAAAACTAAAAACTAACAAACAAAAGTAATAAAAGAAGATATTATACGGTTTTAGGTTTGAGTTTAGATTTTATATAAAATAAGAGAAGATACTATGGGGGAGGATGTATAATAAAAATATATACTATTTGTATGCGGTTCGGATCGGTTCCAATCCGGAACCGTGGGGTTCAATCCAGAACCAATCCGTGTACTACGGATTTTTAATTCTTCAATCCGGAACCGAACCGTGGATTTAAAAAACCAATCTAAACCTATCGGATTGGACTGGACTGGATCGGATTACGAATTTTACGAATTCCTTGCTCAGCCCTATGCATAAAGGGTTTTTGGCAGGAATGAGAATAGCAAAATGACAATTCACTTATTTTAGCAAATTGTGCTTTTAAACCAGCTTATCAGATCTTGTAAATGAGGAATGCTCTTTTGGAATCACCAAATTGACATGAAAATAACAAGTTTGCCTTAGATTTAGGCCTATTTTTAGAATTGACTTTTTTAGTAATTTTATAATTTTTTTATAAAAAGATGTGTAAAAAAGTAAAAAGAATAATTGACTTTTTGTAATGACTTTTTGAAATACAAAAATAAGTAGATCGATTAGAACCGAACAGATAAAAATAGGGAACTGGATTGATAAAGTCTTCTATAATCAATAGTACCCTTAAGAAAATTTTATTTATACACAATTAACTAAAAGCTTGTCTTGCAACAAGATGTGTTGGCTTGATTACAGACCTGGAAAACTTAGATATACATAGAAACTAAAAGTAATTTGCAAAATACAAAATATTTCACCATATTCGCATTCCAGTCCGAAGCACATCTCTTATTAAGAGCATCCACCAAAACTTGGCAGTCAGTCAAGATGGATATGCATGAGATCCCTTTGGCTGCTGCCCACATAAGTGTACTCAAACAAGCTTGTGCTTCCGCATTAATGGAGTCAACAGGTGATTGAAGTAGATCCACGCAATCCCTGCATAACAATGAGCTGCTCTCCAAGATCCATCACTGATGAACGTCCAAACCTGATAATCAGAGTCATTACAAAGCGAATTCACAAGGATACAAGCTCCTTTAGCAAATTGTTCAAACCTTGTCAAACAAGTTATTGACAAATTTATTAGCTCGCCTGCGGCTCTCACTGTTAATCAAGTAAGTTTCAAATTTGTCAAACTGTCCAATGTGTCCACAAGTCTTCCACCGAAAGCAGGACCATAGTTTCGCGCATTTCTACACCACGGTTTTGCTTTCTGGGAGCTATCCCCATTTTTCTACTTTCTGCTTCTGTCTGGGTTGTGGGTGTGGAATGCTTGTATGCTGCTGAAGGAAAAAGTAAGGGTGGTGATGATAAGAAGCATTGATCTAACACTTATATGAGAGTAAAACAAAGATTTGTAAGTAATGTTGCATGTGTGTAATGCTTGTATGCTACAGGGGGAAAAAGTAGTAGTTTGATCTAAAGATTTGTAAATAATGTTACTTGTGTGTAATTGTTAAAACCTACCATCACCTACTCCACCTACTACACCTACCACCACCTACTACACTTACTCCACCTACTACATCTCCTATATAAGGAGCACCTCACCATTTGTAATTACAACACATATCAATCAATAATACATCAATTTTAACATGGTATCAGAGCAAGGTTAAGCATTTAGTATTTTTCGCTTCACCGGCGGGCGGCAACCTCGCCTTGACCGCCCGCCGGACCTCAACCTAATCCGCTAGAATTTTCTACACATACCTTGAAATTTCTTCGAGTCCACCACCTTCACGCCCAACTCCTTCGAGTCGCTGTCCTTGACTCACCCAAAGCACTCTCTCTCTCCATCTTCAAGTGTTCTTTTTGAGTTCTTCTTCTTAATTACAAAAATGCCAGCCATTGCTATTGGGAGATTTGATGGCTCATTTAGCATGGGGTCTATTAAGTCCTATGTTGCTGAGTTCATATCAACCCTCCTCTTTGTCTTTGCTGGAGTTGGTTCTGCTATAGCTTATGACAAGGTGACATCGGATGCAGCCCTTGATCCATCGGGGCTAGTAGCCGTTGCTATATGCCATGGATTTGCTCTCTTTGTTGCAGTCTCCGTTGGGGCCAACATTTCCGGTGGCCACGTAAATCCAGCTGTCACCTTCGGATTGGCTCTTGGTGGACAAATCACCGTCTTCACCGGCATCTTTTAATCACCGTCCTCACCGACATCTTTTACTGGATTGCACAACTTGTTGGTTCCATTGTGGCATGTTACCTACTCAAATTTGTCACTGGAGGCTTGGCAATTCCGACCCACAGCGTGGCGGCCATCACCTCTGCACCGAGCCACCACCTCTGTTGAACCTAGACCATCACTTCTGCCCACAAGCAAGTCTCATGAACCTGTAAATCCACTAACTTATTTACAGAACCTGCGAAGGCAGCAGCAAAGATGCTACATACAAGCACAGTTAGCACCTTAACTCCATGCATTTGTGAGAAGTAATAACAGAGAGCAGTGAGTCAAGACTGAAGAAGTGTAAGACACTAACATGCACAGTTTCTATTTCAGCACAGAAAGCAAAGCATCTCTCTTTCCTGCACCTGGGCTCTCTCTTCTCGGTGGTGTATGAAAACAAACAAGGCAGCATGTTTGTTTTTTTTTTCTTTTTTCAGAGAGAAACACACGGCACACATGACATGCATTTACTCTCTCCCTCTCGGCAGACCTATGCACATGGACACACACTCAACACACTGCCCCATACACACACATGCACGACATCCATCTCTCTTCATCATGTACCCCACTCTCTCTCTCTCATCTTTTCACACTTTCAAACCCACTTTAATCATATTTCTTCTTTCTCTTAATTTATTCCACCCACGTTATTTCACCATTTTCTTTTATTTTAATATATATATATATATATTTTTTATTATAATATATTTTCCCTATCCCTACCATTGTTAGTGAGCATCACCCGTTTTCTATTATCTTATTATTATTATTTTTATATTCCACCAAAAAAAAACAACACAAAAAAAAAAACAAAACAAAAACAAAAACAAAATTACACCGATGTTTTTCTTATCACCCCTCCACAAATATTTTTCTCTATTTTCTTTATCCATTGTTTTATTTTATTTTATTTTTCTTATTAAACAAAACAACAACACAAAATAACACCAACAACATTCCACAACCTTGTCATTTTATTCATATCAGGGGATCAACCCCGATCACACTTTTACATAAAAAAAAAAAAAGGTATGTTGTTTTAAACAACCACATCCACAAGCGGGATTTTTTTTTTCTTCTCTACTCTGCCGCCGGTCTCTTCTTTTTGCCTCCGTCCTGGGCGGCCCTTGACGGTGCTGTCTCCGTGTTTCCCACGCCACCGAGCACGTTCACTCCCCCCTGCTCCTCTACTGCAGCATATAGCGGACCTCCAAATCGGAACATAACGGTGGCCTTCCGCTTCAGCTCCTTATTTTCCGCCTTTAGCACACTTATCTCTGCTCGCGCATCTTTATACATGCGTTGGAGCAGAGCCAGTGTCACGACCCAAACCCGGCCCTATGGGTTTAGCACCGTAACCGGCCAGTAATCCAAGATTACCGAAGGCCTGCTTAACAGTAGTACAGTAAAACAGAGTACAGGGCCTGGCGGAAGCCAATACAGTAAGTAAATAGTGTCCATTGAGCTGTGACATTCTATATGCAAAAAGGCTTTTCATACATTTACACATAAACAGTACAGAGCAGTATACACAATATTTACAATCATTCAGACTAGGGACTCAACCCTATGTAACAGTACAGTAACACCCGGTCTATACAGAACAGTAAAACAGTACAGAAGGTGTTTAATTCAAACTCAATTTCAAACCATTTTCAAGAACATGAAGAACATGCAAACATGCATGAATTCAAATCAATTCAAAGCTCCAACTTGATGCTCTAAGGAGCCAATTCTTTTCAAAACATGGTGAAATCATGGATTTAACATAAACATGAACATGCATGCACCAAAACGTGGCCTTGCTCTACAATTGAAGCATGAATTGTGCAAGAATGAGTTCTAAGACAACAACAAGGAGATGGATGTCCTACCTTAGTCTTGTGCTTAAGGTCTAGGAGCTCAAAGTAGCAATCAACACTTCAATCCTCAAGCAATTCCAAGCAATTCAAGATGAAAACCAACTCCTCAAGTCTCTCTCTCTCTAGGGTCGGTTGAGGCTCAAAATGTGAGAAGAATTGTGGGTTTAATCAATACGTGGAGTGTTTACAAGGCTCATGTGTGTGTGTGTGTGAGTGGCCCACTTAGTGGCAAGTTGGTAATTATGGCAAACTCTGCAATTAACTCATTTTAATCTAATTTAATCATACCTAATCAGTTTTCAGATAATTATACCATAAAATCACATTAATTCTGACGATCATAGAACACTAATCGGTTTCTGATTCGGCCGCCGATAAGGCCCTCAATTAGCAGTTTATACGTATAAGCATGAACAGATAATCATACGGTCAAACAGATAAAATGCAATTAACTAACATATACTGGATCAGTTCGGTTTCCAATTTCAGTCAGTCAGTTCAGTACTTTTAATCAGTTCAATTATCAGTCAGTTATCAGTTCCGTTTAGCAGTAATCGGTGATTATCGGTAATCAATCAGTCCTTAATCAGTAAACAGTATGAGGGTTGTTACAGCCAGTTGGGCGTTTAACTGCTGCACCTCATTTGTCCTACTCTGCAGCCGGTGCGACAAGTTTGTGACCGCCGTCATGGTCTCCACACATGACTTCAAAGTATACTGATTGGCCTTAATATCCGTTTGCACCGTCATTTTTTGCTCCACAGACCGCATCGGAAAGTTCAACGGAGCAAAACCAGAGGTGTTTGGTTGAGGTTCACGGGCCACCGCACCAGTTATCTCTCTTGTTGACTCGTTGAGGTCGGGAAAGAGAGTGAGCAGACCACGGGAAGACGAGGCCATTTTCTGGGCAACAGAGTGTTACAGAGTATTACAGAGTTTCTCTCTCAGACAACGAAGAGTTTTTTCAGAGGTTTTTAGCAGGTTTTTTGTCTCAGCCTCAGCCTCCGTCTTGGTTAAATAGCCGAGGCAGACACGCGCATCGTGCGCCGCTCGGCGCTAGACGACAACCTGGGCGCGCAAGCCAAGTCATGCGCATCGCCATAATGTCCGGCACACCTTTTTATGGATTGGGCACGCCTTTTGATGGCACGCCTTTTGATGGCGCGACTTTTTAAGGCTCGATATATATATCCATGTATATCGATTTGGGCAGCCTATCTACACCATCATACAGTGTATTCTACAACGGTCCGACATGACCCCATAAACTGTCCCGACATTTGATTCCGGTTAGCTTTTTCAACAGTCCGACATAACCCCATAAACTGTCCCGACATTGATTCCGGTTAGCTTTTCTAACGGTCCGACATGACCCCCTAAACTGTCCCGACATTGATTCCGGTTAGCTTTTACAACGGTCCGGCATGACCCCATAAACTGTCCCGACATTGATTCCGGTTAGCTTTTCCAACGGTCCAACATGACTCCCTAAACTGTCTCGACATTGATTCCGGTTAGCTTTTACAACGGTCCGGCATGACCCCATAAACTGTCCCGACATTGATTCCGGTTAGCATCTCCATCGGTCCGGTGTGACCTCGTCAACTGTCCAGACTTTATCTGCTACAACGGTCTGCCACAACCATACAATGTCCTCTACAACGTTATGACACCACCATACAGTATCCTCTACAACGTTATGACACCACCATACAGTGTCTTCACCAATGGTTTGACACGACCATACAGTGTCTCCTATCCTCTTTTATTTTTATGTATTTTATTATTTTGTTCCTCTCTCCAAACTCAAGTTGGTTAGTTCCTATCCCCCTTGAGTTTGCGGGGGGCTGTTAAAACCTACCATCACCTACTCCACCTACTACACCTACCACCACCTACTACACTTACTCCACCCACTTCACCTACTACATCTCCTATATAAGGAGCACCTCACCATTTGTAATTACAACACACATCAATCAATAATACATCAATTTTAACAGTAATGCTTGTAGGCTACTTAGGGAAAATCTACAAATTCTTAAGTAGATTATAAAATTACCATGTAGAAAAATTATAAGTACATTTAATTTTTTAATTCTAACCGTAAATTAAACTGTTCACTCAGTTCAAGCAGTTCAATTTAAAGATATTAAGACTAAATCTGAGTTTTAATCTATTTTTATCTATGGGATAGGCATTGGTTAACAAAAAGAATTTATGTCAAAAAACATTTCTCTATATGTTTAGGCAATGTTTATAGATTTATATTTTTATTTATGTATAGATTGAATTCTTCTTCTTCTTTTTTTAATTATAGTTAGAATAGTTGAATTAATTAATTTTCAAACTTGAAAGTAAATAAATAAATAAATAAAATTTATAGTGCTGGATTGGACCCAAAAAAAATGGCATTAGATGGATTGGGCAAAGACAACTTGGCACAAATGCTGTACTATATATTTATTTTGTGACTAACTAAAGTTACTGTGAGGCGGGGTTTATATTTTAGGAGAATTGTGTATTAATGGGACAAATTAAAAAAGTTACACTACACATTCGAATATTTTAGATACAAGTTTGACACACAAGAACACTTACGTCATACATAGAAAATGACTTGCACTAAACATAAGATAAGACATATTTGTACTACATAAAAATGAGATTTTTTTTTATCCATTTTCCAATTGATTTGAGATTGACTAATGCTATATCTATCAATTAGTATACTAACTAGTGTATCAATTAATGATGTGACATAATTTAAGATATTTTTTATATTTGTAATTTGTATAATAAGTTGGGTCAATAATAATGGTATAACTAGTGTTGGTACAATAGTTACTACACTAATTGGTGCATGTAGCACCACTCTTTGAGATTTCACCTTATATTTTTTTAAGTTGAATTTATTTTAACTTTGCACCGCATGTGCAATCATTCTATACTATGTTATAAAGGGTTTTCTTAACTTTGTATTTGTTAAGAATGCATTAACTTGCCTAACCTAATTAGTTATCATGACACTCGTAAAGGTTTAGTTCCAAAAGAGAGTTTATGGGTTCAACTCTCCCTAAGGGAAATTTGAATTAAGAGACAAGCACTAGGTACTTTGCAAAGGTGATGAAATTAACTCTCATTACATGCTAATCTAACAACTAACAATTAACTTTCGTCGATCCAAAAAAAAAAAAAAAAGTATCAACTTTCTCTACCATTAGAGAGAGTAAAAAAGATAGAGAGTTTATGGGTTCAACTCTTCTCAAGAGAAATTTGAATTAAGAGACAAGCACTAGGTACTTTGCAAAGGTGATGAAATTAACTCTCATTACATGCTAAACTAACAACTAACAATTAACTTTCGTCGATCCAAAAAAAAAAAAAAAGTTTCAACTTTCTCTACCATTAGCGAGAGTAAAAAAGATAATAATGTATGGAATCTTCTATTTACACATCAACTATTCTCTCAATTCACACCAGTATCCCAAATTTCTATAACTACTATTATATCCTTCAATCAAATTACTACACCTTCCTCCCTTATCTTCTTCCATCACAAACCTTAACCCTAACCCTATCCACCACCCCTCACCACCACCATGACGCTAGTGAGTTAAACCATGGTGTGTGCAAATAGAAACTCCCTAAATGTATAGTGTTAAATAATATTTCTTTCATAATGAGACTAAAATAACCATTTTGACATTTTCTTACATTTTTTTTATCTACTTATTTTTTTCTGAATTTTTTGATCTCCCACACGCATTGCAAATTACTCTTTGACATTTCATATTATTTTTTACAAATTAACAAAATGCAACAATAAGTTTCTTCTTATTGACATAGACATAGTAATACTTCAGTTGGTGAAATTTGTAAATAAGAAAATATATATTATTTACAACAGTTTAGTTTAGTTAACGGGGATAAAGATCTGAGACTATGGTGTGCAAGAATTTTAGCAAAACTCATAAATTAATTGTAGGGTTGAAAATTGTGAGGGTAGTTGGGAGGAGGGAACTAAAAAAGTGTGGGTGGTGAAAAGAACTAAAAACGGAGTTAAATTTTCCATTTCATTCTCTAATTTGTTTTCGATTTAACAAATTTTAAATGAATTTCAATATGTAATTATGAATTAGAAGTTTTAGCCGTTATATCATTGGATAAAATATAATATAAAAGTATATATATATATATATATTTATCTTTTATGCTAGATAAAATTTTTATAATTCACTTAATTTTTTTACTCTAAAATGTTACTGATCAAGTGATGATATACATATTTGTTAGTTAATACTTCAAATAAAATATTAATGATATAACACAATTAAAACAAGGCTTCAATGCAATTTAAATTAAAGCAACTTATATACATGATTTCAACTATTTTTTCTTTTAAAATTTAAAATTAGTACTATTTAATTTTAAAATAAATTTTAGTTGTTTGTTTATGACTTTGGATAGCGCATGTTTTATGCTAGGCATATCCAATATTTAAAACAAAACCAGCAAACGCAATGAGAGGAAAAAAATAAAATTGACAAACCAAAACAACAAAAACCAAAATAGGTGTTATCTAACAATGATTTTTGGAAGGCATATGTTGATGGAGCTCTTCTGAAATTTTGGAGAAGCAAAAAAGTGTGTACCGCAATTTTTTTGTCTTCCTATCTCAAAAAGCTTGGTTGTTAAATTATGTTTCGAGATACCCATACCACAAAATCCTAACATTATCTAACAGTATTATTCAGGCCAATTGAATTCCCACATTATCACAATAATCAAACCCTAACTTTAACCTTGCTACCGAGAAATGGCTTAGCTACAAAACAAAGATTCAAGTACCAAAAAACCTCTGCTCAAAACCGGGCCACTTAGAACAAAAATATTCCAGTGAATAATACACTAATACTGTGTTTGATTGGAGGATTTGGAGAGGGATTTGGAAAGGAAAGAGGAAAAGGTGTGTGAAAGTAGGTGAAATATAGGCATGTTTTATTCACATTTCACCTACCTTTTCCATTTCCCTTTCCAAATCCCTCCCCAAATTCCCCAACCAAACACAGCATAAAAGTTGATCTCAAGCCAAAATATGATAACAGTTAGAATCCATCTTATCTGAACATTTGATTCAAGAATATCTTTAGCATGTCGCTTGTCAATAGCCCAGCCTTTGGTTCTGCTTCTGTCTTCTTCTGTCCCCATCTGTAAGAATGTTCAACATTTGATATTGCACCTAGCACGGTTCATCCTCCTTCGGTGAAAGATAGCAGATATTTCTATTGAAGGGTGATCTCAAATATAACTCCTTCAAGATTTCCTACCACTGATCGGCTCCCAACAATTTCAGTTATCTGCAGTCCATGGCTAATTGCTTCACTGATAACCATTGCATCCATGCTGCACAAAAAGAATTGGGTAATTGTATGACAAAATAGATCATGCAGGTAGAAGAAAAGCGTGCTCTCATTATAGTTAATATGTTTCTCATCAAATCATCAAATACGTTTGTATCACTTCCGGTGTTGCAAGTATCTAGAGACAAGCAGGGGAGGCAGTTTAAAAGTTTCAATTTCACAACAATTACAAGATTTTTGAAAATTAAGACCCATGTCGCTTTGGTCCTCAAAATCTCAATTTTGGCAAACAAAAATACAAAAAAGAACCACCAAATCTTCTAAATTACCCATAAATTTTCGGGGAATAAAAGCTGGTTAAGTATTAAAAGGGGCAGCCTGATTATCACATTTCAATTAGGACATGCACCATAATTCACATTGGTTTGACATGCCACTAAATATTTAATAAAATCTTAGAATAGATATTTCCCCAAAAAATCACTTTTATCAACACCCATTAAATGTGATTGTACAAATGAGAATCTGCATAATTGTGCTGAGGCAGGAACAATACTAATTGGAGTTCATTTTTTACGATGAAACACATTGCGTTACTCTTCTTTTTTTTATTGAAAATTCCCTGAAATTCTTATTATTACAATTTAAAATGAAGCAGTTCCATAAACCATGGTAACAATAATATCAAGAGAAGCATATGTATATGAATGAGTTACTTACACTTTGGCTCGGGAAACATAAGCCAGTAGGAATTTGCAATTTCCTTCCTCCCGAATGTGGAGGAGCTGTTGCACGGTATCAAAAAGCAACGGGATGCTAGACTGTTGAAAGCTTACAAGTTGTCAAGGCTTTCTTTTCTCACTTTTCTTCTTAGGTTTTAATATTTTCAAAATAAGAAAGCAAAAGTTCCAACATATATGAGCTACTAGCATCCAACATTTGGATCCAGTAACAGCACTTCAAAACAAATGTTTGAAGTTTCAATAATACCAAATATTGCACCTACTTGAGATCAAACACATGCTAGGAATGCAAATGGCATGGTCACAAAATGATCCAATTTAATTTTTTGAAAGGATATAAACACAATCTAGTCTTGTAGCTGAAGTCATTTCCATAAACCACATAAATAACAACTGGCATCATTGATTACAAATAGTGGTAATAGTAGTAAGCCCTAGCAGCAGTGGCACTAACAGTAGTACTATAAGAAAAGTTTTATTCTTAAGGTTGTTTTATTGTTTTCAATTTCAAACACAATTAAACACGTTTCAATAACCTTGAATATAAATGATTATTAATAATACTAATAGTTGAATCTACATGATTAAATACCGTAGGCATATGTATACATGTGTGCTTTCATGTGTATTTAGATGTATGTACTGTATGTGCATAGGCTTGTATGCATATTACTTGAAACCTCAAGGATAAAAATGAAAATTAGGATATAAATATCAGCACCAAGAACCAGATCAAATCCACCTGGATGCCTATTCAAAATTTGGTCGAGCTGATCAGAATTTCCCCATTCCAGCCTCTCCACCATTAGCCCTGCACAAAAAAGGTCAAAAACAGGATATCAACTTATCCAAACATAAATGTATAATTTTCAGCATGGTTACTCACCAGCAGAACCATTAGAATTGTCAGTAGACGAGTGGAGATCTATATTTTTATTCAGGATCTGAAAATGGACAAATTATGTAATTAATCTGAAAATGGACAAATTATGTAATTAATCAAAAAAGTAACAATATGAAAAGATTAGATACAGAACTCATCCAATTTTTTTTCAAAAAAATGAAATTTAATTCAGTGACCTTGCCTTGAGGACTTCCTCATTATGGTCTGTTAATATGACTTCACAGCAAAATCTGCTGCAGAGAATTCCAGTAACACCTGCACTTTGGGGCGCAGCATTTAGTCTATATCATGAAGGTCTTAAATGAAAAAATTCTATGAAAATATATCAAATTATGCATGCACTGCTACATCAAAGGGAATAACGTGGGCTAACCATAATAAATGACTTGTGAAGAAACAAAGGGAGACAAAAATTCCCATAATATGAAAAACTAAAAATTACAAGTCTAATAACAAGTCATAGCAGCGCACTTTTTGCCCTCTATGCCTTTAAATTAGGAAATAATATAGACCAATGGACCATAATAAAGATATTCCACAAAAACTTTTTCTAAGTCCACAAGCTCTTAAACACCTACTCATCTTGTAAAGAAGCTAATATTATCCAAGAATACTAAAAGCATCAAAGAATGAATGGAACCTTAGAATTGAAAGGTGGTCAACTACTCCACACTCCCAAGTCATATGGAGCATCGACTATGAAAACCAGCCTTCTGTAATTTCATCATTTTACTGATCCAGAATAAGATACTATCTTATGGAGCTGTCCATATGATCACACAGAAACTTCAAGGGAACAAAGAAGCCCAAAACTCCTCGACAGAGGAAGAAACAATTCACCATTGAATAGAGGACAGTGATTGAAGAATAATTTTCTGAGAAATGCCTTCACTTTCTGGGTCTCTATAAATCCTCAACTTCAAAACTTTTTCTTTTTTGGACAGAGAACCGTCATATCATCCAACTACATAATCTAGGGCAGGAGTTTTATTCGATAGTGTTGAATACCTCGCTTTTGTTGTCTAGTTTGACAACTCACTTTCAGAACTCTAGTGTTGCAGTATTCTAGAAAATGCTTCTAAATTGTTTTGCATGATCTATCAATTGATCTAGAGGATTTTTTTCTTTTTCTTTTCAGATTGCTTTCTTAACATAAAAATTAACATTCATGGAAATAACAGAGTTTTGGCTCTATCAAACTGCATGGAAGCAGATATCTATTGGATTATAGATATATAAAATTTGAACAGTAGAAGAAACATGTAAACTCGTGTCAGAATCACTTACCAACACCAGAGCCTAATTCTATCACAGAACATCTGCTGAGCATCTCAGGATTTTTTGAAAGGTAATTATTCAAAAGAGTTGCACCAGGCCACACCAACTGCCCCGTCAAATCAAAATCAGCTGTCACAAAATAATTTGATCAAAACATAATTGCTAGATCATATGGAAAGACGGCACATAGCGTTAGGCAAACATGTACTCAATACTATTGAAACAATCTTCTGTGTAAAATAAATAAGTTGAAACCAAATCAAACAAATAAAATAAATTACTTACAGAATTTATTTACCGAACCGAATAAATAATTAAAAAGATCAAGTCGAGTGTGTGACACTCAGTCTTTAAGACAGATTCGCCCCACTCCGGTGCTTACGGATAAATAGCGTCTATCTCCCAAGATACAATGATCTTTACACAAATTGTAGTAGCACTCCAAACAATTTGTATGGCGAACTAGAACCTGTGTTTTATACTCCCTGAATTTTTTTTCTAAAAACTAATATGAAGAACAATGCAAAAGAGAGCAAAAATGGGAAGAGCAAATGAATTTTTCTCGATTTCAGGATGTCCCAAAACTGTTGGAATTATTCTGAATTTTTAGGCAATCTAGAACCTGTTGGACAGATCCGAACAGGTGCAAATAGAAGTCAACAGGTGCAGAATTCAAATGAACAGATTTGAATTCAAACAGAACAGGTGCAACACTGTTTTGAACAGATAACTGCTGGGCAATTTTAATCTGTTGGAAACTGCTGGCAGTTTTAAACCTGTCTGGGAAGAAGTGAACCTGTCCAGTGCAAAACAGGTTGAAAACTGTTTGGACTGGTTTTGGAAAAAGACCCTGATTGGGAGCAAAAAATTTGAATTCAAATTGGAGCATAATTCAAATTTTTCTTGCAAAAAATTTTGGAAAAATTCAAATAAATTTTGTCAAAAAAATTATAGTTAGGACCAACCTGACCCACAACCCACACCCGTGCCCTACTCGGCTCGGCCAGTCGGGGACAGCGACGCACGTGCGTGTGGTGATTTGAGCCAAAATTCAATTTGTCCATAACTCCTCCTTTCTACAAACTTTGGGTGCTCCTTGGGGCACAACCCAAGTGTTGTCACCTAGAATGGGACAAGCCTTACAAGGAAACACACATTTTATTCTTTAATTGTCCAATTCCACGAACCCGAAAACGATGTCAACTTCCCATTCACTCATAAATAGTTTTGACGAACCGTCTTCACCGTGTGACTTGCCATTCGGCAAGGAACACGTCACCTCTTTGAACCCACCCCAAAAGACGTGTGGGACCCATTCAAATTTGGGCTCAAAGTTGGCCCAAAATAAGCCTATAAAACCATAATTCCAACAATCTCTCACATGAATGGAATTTGACAAAAAGAAAATGCGACATGATCTAATTACAAAGAGTACAGAAATTGAAAATATTCTGCAAAGGATAGGTAGCTTTTGGCCTTGAACCTTTCCTTGTGAGACACTATCGGATTTACTAGCTAACCAGTGAACATGATGTCTTGAACTGTTCAGCCATTGTGTAAACCAGGACAATAGAACTCACACAATATATTACCAGACACAATTTAGTTCTCACAATTGTGTTCATTTTGGCCCTGAACAACCTGGTCTTTCATGAGTGCTCTAGAGAATTGTAGCCCTTCACAAATCTCATAAAACCAACCCAGTTCACACTCATATAGGTGATTCTTATGAACAGTATCCTGCCATACTCCACTAGGTATTCCTAGATATAAAAATCATTAAAAGTTTTACATAACCTAAAACGCTATAGGCATCACTATTTCATCATAGAAATGGGTAGGAGTTTAACTCCCCAGTGATCCTTATGAGACATACACAACTCGGTTGTCCCTTTAAACCTAGATCTTGGGATTTCCAGTTAACTAGGTTGGGTTGCCGTTGTGATAACTCTTATTTAATAAGCTTAAGTCCCATTACCCTCGATGAATTCTCAATTAACTCTCTTGCTAACCCTTTGGTTAGTGGATCCGTTATGTTGTCTTTAGACTTTACATATTCAATGGAAATAATTCCATTAGAGAGTAGTTGTCCACGGTGTTATGTTGATGACAAATGTGTCATGACTTACCGTTATACATATGACTCTGTGCTCTACCTATTGCTGATTGACTATCGCAATGTATGCATATAGCAGGCACCATTTTGGCCACATTAGAATATCTTCAAGGAAGTGACTAAGTCATTCTGCTTCTTTCCCAGCTTTATCTAAAGCTATAAATTTTGATTCCATAGTAGACCTAGCAATGCAAGTCTGTTTGGAAGATTTCCAAGATACAGCCGCCCCACCAAGAATAAAGACATACCCACTGGTAGATTTTGAGTCTCTAATATCCGATCTCCAGTTTACATCACAGTATCCTTCAAGCACTACTGGATATCTAGTATAATTCAACCCAATGTTACGAGTAAATCAGAGATATCTTAGAACCCTTATAATTGCTTTCCAGTGTTCTACTCCTGGATTACTCGTATATCTACTTAATTTACTTACTGCATAAGCTATATCTGGGCGAGTGCAGTTTATCAAGTTGTAGAAAAATTTAATGTATAAAGAGAAATAGAGAATTGTATAGATATTGATTGTATTATTGATAGATATATTGAATGTTACAATGATTCCTATATATAGAAGAGTAGGTGGTAGTAGGTGGTAGATGAAGTAGGTAAAGTGGAGGTGGTAGTGGTGTAGTGGGTTAGGTTTAGTGGGTGAAGTAGGTGATAGGTTTTAACAGCCCCCCGCAAACTCAAAGGGGATAGGAACTAACCAACTTGAGTTTGGAGAGAGTAACAAAACAAGAAAAATACATAAAAATAAAAGAGGATAGGAGACACTGTATGGTCGTGTCAGATCATTGGTGAAGACACTGGATGGTGGTGTCATAACATTGTAGAGGACACTGTATGGGGGTGTCATAATGTTGTAGAGGACACTGTATGGTGGTGTCATAACGGTGTAGAGGACACTGGATGGCGGTGTCAGACCGATGTAGAAGACAGTTTATGGGTGTGTATATAGGCTGCCCAAAAGATATACATGTAGATATATATATCGAGCCCGCAAAAGTCGCGCCCTCAAAAGGCGCGCCCACTTTATCAAAAGATGTGCCCGACAGAAATCATCGAGCGGCGAGCCATCAAAAGGCGCGCCAGACACGCGGCGATGCACGTGACCGACAGAACGCGTGTCGGCCTCTTCGTCAGGGTCTTTATAAACCGAAGCGGAGGCTGAGGCTTGGAAGCAGAGACAAAAAACCTGCTAGAAAAACTCTGAAAAA